TCATTATTTACCCATGCTCTACAAGGCAAAAAGGTGCTGGAAAAGAATGGGCATGTGATTTGAAGGGTACATAAGTTTCCTGAAGTTTCTGCTGGTTTTATTGTATACTTGAGGCTTAATTGCTACAGAAATGGGAACTGAACACAAAGGAGTTTACTGTAGGCAGCGACCTGCATCCTGTTCTTCCATGTGTGGAGGAAAACCCTTTCCTGCTGGTTTTTTTTGGTCTTCATTTCTCCATTGTAAATTTTTAAAAAAAACCAAAACAACACAGGAAAATGTAGCTGATAGAAATGTTTTTAATGTTCTGTCCATGCTTCCTTTTCTCTGCACAGTGGCTGGGAGAAGCAGTGAATGCAGCAGCATCATTCTTGGAAGTCCTGCAGAAAATTCATACCCTGTCTGTATTATGACAAGCCAGCAAAGCATTTTGAATACATGAATAAATTAAGCAAACAAACAATCCTACTGAAATCAGTGGGACAACCTACATACATAAAATTACGCCTGCGCTGTCTGGCTATGCCAGCTCAGGGTCTGTGTGGGGAAAAGGCAATCACAGCAACGTGCCTTGCATTGCAGGGGTGACTTGGTTTGCTTTATCGAAAGCTGAGGTATTTTCCAGATGCTAACAGTCTCAGGAGTGTTTCTGCCTTATTCTTCAGTTAAGGTATCAATTAATTGTTGTATATAACACTTATTCCACTATGAAAAAGGGAAAAGGAAGCGTAAGTGTGGGCTCAGAGCTGGTACAAATCTGAGAGGTGTTATTTATTCCAGAAATTCCTCAGTAAAACCTATAATCCTGATTTCTGTTACGCTCTTTGTGTATTCTGGTATGTGTGCTGTATTACCAATCAAGTATGGTAGTCGGTCCAGCCTAAGGAAGACAGTAATTTGTGCCTAGGTTTAGTTTGGGTCCTCTCTGATGGAATATTTCCTGATGTAGCATCCTTCACCCTGGTGCAATTACACCTGGATAATCTCATGTCTCTGTTTCTTCCTGCCACGAACACAGCAGGAATGTTTTGATGTGTGTCCTCCTTAGGGAGTTATCCAGGGCCCAGTGAATCCCATGGGCTAAAGCAAATAGGAACGGGACCAAATAGTTTGGTACCCCGTCTTACAGTCAGAGGAGACGGGATGTTCATTCTGGCCCAACAGGGTCTTACCGCGGTGCCTGGGGCAGCTACCTCTGCTCCCCGTTCCTTCTGTATAAATAAGGTGCCATTAGAAGCAAGAACTATAACTGTCCTGCTGTCACCATGGCATGTGATTGTGTGACAGGCTAGCCAACACGTCTGAAATGCGTTGTACATATCAACTGGTTTGTAATGAAGTAAGTGTTATATTTTTATGGTCCAGAATTAAGACACGCCTCAACCTTTGTGGAAACGGCACGTCAGGACTGAATTTTACTTTGTCACCTGCATGGAAATGGCACAGCAGCACATCCTTGCAGTTGTCTTTGACTAAAAAAATAAGGTTATCCCACTTGTTGAATAACACTGTATGTTGCTTTTCTGATGAAACACCAATAAAATATAAACAGAATGTGTTTTCAGTGTTTTTAAATAAATATATACAATATCACAGAATCACAGAATGCTCAGGGTTGGAAGGGACCTCTGGAGACCATCTAGTCCAATCCCCCTGACAGAGCAGGGTCACCTACAGCAGGTTGCACAGGATGACGTCCAGGCGGGTTTTGAATGTCTCCAGAGTGGGAGACTCCACAACCTCTCTGGGCAGTCTGTGCCAGTGCTCTGCCACCCGCAAAGTAAAGAAGTTCCTCCTCATGTTTAGATGGAACTTCCTATATTCGAGTTTGTGCCCGTTACCTCTTGTTTTATCACTGGGCACCACTGAAAAAAAGACTGTTCCCATCCCCCTGGCACCCTCCCTTTAGGTATTTATAAGCATTGATAAGATCCCCCCTCAGTCTTCTTTTCTCCAGACTAAAAAGACACAAGTTCCTTAGCCTTTCCTTATAAGAAAGTCGCCTACTCATCTTTGTAGCCCTTTGCTGGACCCTCTCCAGCAGTTCCCTGTCCTTCTTGAACCGGGGAGTCCAGAACTGGACACAATATCAAAGCCTATTGATTTGGTACATGTAATCCTTGCATTTTCTACAGAGGTGGATGATGCTAACAAATCCTCTGTCAGTGCTCATCCTGCATGTAGCGGAGTTGGTGGGGTCTCAGCCTTTCATAGGCACTGCTGTCCTGAGCGAGGGCCGTTCACTCCATGTCTACCAAGGCCATGGGGTGGGGGCACTGGGATGACCTTGGTTGGATCCTAAGCCCACAGGCAAGGTCCTAAGCCCACAAGCAATCCTGCTGATTTCAGTGTAGCTCTGTATGAGGGCAGAGATCTGCTTTTCTGGCTCTGGTCAGCAACCGGGCACAGAATTCACTCGACAAATTCAAACTACAGGATTGCTGATGGCTAAAGCTGCCTCCATGACATGCACCACCAAAGAAAGGCTGTCCTTAAAGAAAACAGGTCACAAAGATGGAAGAAAAACCTCAATGACACAAAAATCCGCTTGTATCACCCATTTCTTCAATAGCATTCATGTGGTGTTCTATCAGCCATTGACATTTGCCTTAAGTAGTGTTTAAAAACAAGAAAACCCTAAAAAAAAAAAAGGACTTTACATCTCATGACAGATGATTGGTGCCTCCACACACCAAACTACAAAGAGCATTCCCAGAGTTGTTGCGCCTGCCCTGGGAAGTGCCCGTGGGGATAAGGCACCAGCCATCAAAATTTGCCGGCAGAGTCCGTGCAGGGAGCTGGGGGTCCCAGCTGAGCGCAAGGAGTTGCCAAGGGTGGGACAATGCCTGTATTTTAGTAGGAGATTTGCTCCCAGCTAGAGTGTGGCGAGAGTCTGCCATCCTGCTGTTACCTCTAGTCTTATTTATTTTTCCCTGCTGAGGTTGGGGCAAGTTGGATGGATTTCCCCCTGCAAGAGCCTCACATCTAAACCCATAAAGGAAAGCGAAGGAGCGCAATGTGGTAATTCAGCCATCCCCCAGGATATAATTTTCCCCCATTTCTGGGAAAGGTGCTGCAAGGAAACAGCCTCCACCAGAAGAATTTAGGGAAAAGGTACTGACTAATGTTAAAATATAATCTACAAAATACCATGCTCCTTCCTTTGAATACCACAAAGAGTCAGCCACTGCAAAAACAAATGCTTTAAATGTCTGCTCATTTCCTCTTTTTATTGTTTTTATCTTTTAAATATTTCTTGGTATTTGGCTCTCCCAAGCTCTTTCAAGGCTGCTAAAGCGAAGCTCACATCTTGCCAAGCAGATTTGAGCGGTGCCGGTGACAACGTGACAGAGGATGTCGGTGTGTCCTCAAACCAGGACAGGGGGAAAGAGCCAGCCTGCGGCAGAGGGATGATCCTTCGGCTTTCCTAAAGGAAAAGCCAGCTTCAGGTGTCTCAAGCTGCTGGGCAAGTGCACATCTTGGAGATGTTGCAAGGCTCAACAGAGAGCTCACGGAGAAGGATAGGAGTCTAAAGCCCCTGAATAAGCAAAACTTCCAATATTTTCCCTGCCAGAGTCTTGAGAAGGTTTGTCTAGCTGAGCACAGAGGAACTCAAAAGCCTCTCCAGCCTCTGTAAATTGGGTTACACGTCAGCCATCGCTGAGGAAAGATGCCAATTAATTCAGCTCCGCTGCCTTGGGGCAGGGGCACGGGGGTAGGACAGGGTGTAAAGGCAGGGCGCCAGGTGAAGGTGATGGTAGGAGGAGAAGTCACACACTTGCCATGCCAGATGTCGCAAACACCCAGCCTCGGCAGGATTTAATCCCTGTGGGAAACGGCACCGGCTGCTTTCCCTGGTTGTAGTCCAAGAATTAACACAAAACTACGAGCCAGAGGAAAAAAGCAGTAGCAGGCATGCTTGCAGGACCTAACTCAGCCCTACCACCGCTCTCAAATCGCATTTTCTGCACCCAGACTGAAAACTGTGGCTACAACAGACCACTGAGATGCGAGGGTGTGGAGAAAACCTGTTTTCCTAGTTTTAATAAGAAAGAAGACTCAGTCACCACCTGCCGTGACCTCCCCAGCCCTGTCTGCTCCAAAGCCATTGCAAACAAAACTCCCTCCAGGCAAAACTGCCCGAAGTAGTGCTCTTAATTAATATGCAGCATATTACGCATCCCAAGTGCAGCTGTGCAGTGATACCCCCTTGCAGGTCCCTACCTTGCCTGGGTGCCCAGACAGGCATTAGGTCTTATTTTGGGGTGTATTTACGTCTCTTGCACTTCCTGACCTTGAGAATTTTTTCTCCTTATGTCTGCACAGGGAAATTTGCCTTTTCAGCAAGGGATTCCTGCCCCAGACCTGCGGGAAGATGGCTCGTACGCAGCCGCTGGACACCCCAAAACCACAAGCAGATCGCCCAAATCTGGGAGAAGGGAACGCTGGGCAGTTTTAATGTTCCTAAGTGGGATCGCACATGGACCATGCATAGATGGGAGAACACCTATATACTACTTAATAGTCTGCTTTTAATTTTTTTTTTAATTCTTGACATAGCAATTTAATATTATATTATTCTATTCTGTTGTGTTGAGTTCTGTTCTGTTCTATTCTATTCTATTCTATTCTATTCTATTCTATTCTACTCTATTCTATTCTTTCTATTATATTATATCACATTACATTACATTACATTATATTACATTCTATTATTTTAAGTTGTGTATAATTGTCAGCATTCTGACATTGGGAACCTCATTTCCAAAATCCAATGAACAAGCAAAGAAAATCTGTGACACATACCCCCATAACCACAGGTCAAGCGAACTATTCAAAATACTCACTATCAGCATTCCTCTGGCTGAAGGGTGACAATGACATTTCAGATGAGTCAGACTCGAGTAAAGCGAAAGGTCTCCCTCCTGTTATCGCGGCGGACAGCCGGTAATGTCTTGCAATAACTTTGCATTGCAGAGGAGCATGATTAATCAACTTTTATAAAGGAAAAGCAGTATGTCAGCAGTAAGGGCATTTCTGGATCTGTGACTCAGCCCATCAGGGCCACATCAGCCAACGCCTGTCATGCTTTGAGGCAACGGAGGGAAAAGATCATCGGAACAAAAAAAGAGTTATTAAAACATGATTAATCGCATTTCTCCTGCCCTGATAATCTTTCCCTTCTACTGGCATGATCAACCCTGCAAACTGGTGTTGGTGGGGCAAGGACGCCAGAGCAATGACCTGAGAAATCATTGTTTTGGGAGTACTATACATTTCCTGGAGATTTTCAAAATATTTCTCAGCATGTAGCCTTGAAAAGGGAATTTTTATCTGTTTTTATAACTACTTAAAAAAAAAGAAAGAAAGAACATGAATCTATTGTTTTTCTTCTTTTCCATTCATTACATTCTGTCTTCTTTTGTTTGCCCTGACTATTCCCCCCTTATATTGCTGTTTTGCTTCTGAAAACAGCAAAAGAAGAAGAAGAAAAAAGAACAACAACAAAAAGAAGAAGAAAAGAAGAAGATGAAGAAGAAAAAGCAGAAGAAGAAGAAGGAGAAGAAGATAAGGAAAAACAAAAAGGAAAAACAAAAAGGAAAAACAAAAAATAGAAAAAGAAAAGGGAGAAGAAAAAGAAAAAGGAGAAGAAAAAGAAAAAGGAGAAGAAAAAGAAAAAGGAGAAGAAAAAGAAAAAGGAGAAGAAAAAGAAAAAGGAGAAGAAAAAGAAAAAGAAAAGGAAAAGGAAAAGAGAAAAAGAAAAAAACCACCAGTGAAAACAATGAAATGAAAACTGGGGAAACAACAGGTTTTAGTAAAGTAAAGACAGGTTGCTGTTACCAAGCTGCCAGGAAGCTTCTGGGTATTAACCTATTTACACATTTTGGGGTGATGAAGAGCAACTGAGCTCTTCTTGGGTGAATATTTTATCCAAGCAGTGCCTGGCACTGGCCAGCAGGTCACTGCAGGCTCACCCACACCCACACACTCATTTGTCCCCCCTCTCCAGGGTAGGAATGGCAGATCAGCCCTACAGGACATGTGTCACCTAAGAGGAGACGAAGGCTTTGGGCTGAGATTAGGGAGCCCTGGCCTGAGCCCAGCCCTTGCCCTGGGCTCCATTAGTGGCGAAAACGACCCTGCCCTGGGCTGTACCCCTTCCTCCTTGGGGTACATCCCTGCTGGTAAAATTGAACCTGCAGTTATTTATTTCCCATGCAGGCAATTGAGCTGAAATTTTGAAGGAGGTGAAATGATAAACTTAAATGCTCTGTAGACCAAGATCTGAGCTCTCCATCACTCCTCCTGCAGTCTGAGCAGAAAATGACATTTCCTTGATATTCCCCTTCCCAGAGAGGTGTGGATGAAGGTTTGAAAGAGGCCGAAGACAGGCAGGGGGAAAGGCTAAAGAGCACGAGCTCTTCTGCTCCCATTTCTATCAGGCTGCCTTTGCAGCTACCAAACAGCACAGCTTGTTTGGTGATGTTGTTTCTCCTTCTTCTTCTTCTTCTTCTTCTTCTTCTTCTGGTTTATTATTACTCTTTTCCCCGTCTTCCCTTTTCTCTGCAGCCAAAATCAATGCCCACAGCATCTCACGAGCTACGTGAACCGCACAGGGCTGGAAGAGGACAAGACAAATCATAAGAGTTTAATAAAGTAACCTCCTTGCAATGAGTGAAGCAAGGAAATATGGATTTGCTTCTCCGCAGGGGACCCTGAGGGCTAATTGCAATGACTGAGTCTTCCGGTAAAAACACCGCTCTCAAAATTGGAAAAAAAAAAAAAAAGGGTCAAATACCCTCTCCTTTGAGTGGCGAAGCTTTGGATGTTTGCTTTTCATTTTTATTTTGCTCTTGGCTGTGTTCTGAAAGCAGAGGTGGATTTTGTAAAGATAAAACCATGGAGAGGGTACAGCTGTTCCGAAAAGAGCAGCAGAGGCACCTGCGAGGAAGGGGAGCCGGAGCCCCAGGGTGAGACCCCCCCCTGGCTGGGCAGGAGGACCAGGGATGGGACCTCTCTCCTGGGGCTCAGCTCCAGCTCTCCCTGCGCCGCTCCGGCAGCGTAGGAGCCACGGTGCTATCCCGAAGCGGGGCACAGCACACTGCTGGCCTCTCCATGCCTTTTTTCTCTAATATCAAGAGCAAGGCCACACCTTTTTCTGGCGTCCCATCTTACCTCGGATCCTCTGGGACAGCTTTGCTTGGGCTGCGAATTGTAAGGCACGCGGAGATGGTTGTTCACGCTGTTAACGCCGCATCCTTCAAGCACAGGGAAGGGCTCTCCCAAGTCCCTCACTGCTATAGTATAAGTCAGTAAATCCTCGGAGACATCTCAGAATTCCTTTCCTCTTTGAAAAAAAACAGAGTTTTTTTTCTTTAAAGTCTGACTTTGTCCTGGAAGGGCTGGCAGCCTGACCCTTGCCTTCACTCCAGTGCATCTTTAATGCACAGATGAGGTCTGGGAGCTGCCACCGCTACAGGTCCGCGATCCAGAGTGGCAGAGATGCCTGACCAACAGGCACGTCTTCCCAGCAGTGTGGGTGCCCACTGCAGTCTCCTAGCCACATGCCACCTACTGCCAGCGGCAGATATCACCCTGTGCTGTGCCACCATCCCTCTGGGAGCCTGCCTTGCCCCCGGAGAAGAGCAAGTGATGGGAAGAGGCCAAGGGGTGGGCAGGCACAGCCACTGGCCCCTATGGCCCCTGATCCTGACTGCCTTGAAGGTATGAAGGTGGTCCTGCGTGGTCTGCAGCTGAGCGGCAGCCTCCCACAGAGGGGACAGAAATGATTGACATAATTTCCGAGTCCAGAGGAGGGCCACAAGGATGATCAGAGGGCTGGAGCACCTCTCCTATGAAGACAGGCTGAAAGAGTTGGGGTTGTTCAGCCTGGAGAAGAGAAGGCTCTGGGGAGACCTTATAGCAGCCTTCCAGTACCTAAAGGGGACCTACAGGAAAGATGGGGAGGGACAGTATCAGGGAGTGTTGTGATAGGATGAGGGGTAACGGTTTTAAACTGAAAGAGGGTAAATTTAGATTAGGTATTAGGAAGAAATTCTTTACTGTGAGCGTGGTGAGGCACTGGCACGTGTTGCCCAGGGAAGTTGTGGATGCCCCATCCCTGAAGGTGTTCAAGGCCAGGTTGGATGGGGCTTTCAGCAACCTGGTCTAGTGGGAGGTGTCCCTGCCCATGGCAGGGGGGTTGGAACTAGATGATCTTCAAGGTCCCTTCCAACCTAAACCATTCTATGATCCTATAACAGGAATTTGGTACACTGAAGCTTGGAGAAGCAGCGGATGAGCAGCGGTGGTTAGGCTGGAAGGGACCAGCAGGCCACCAATTGGGCCCTGATGGTGTCACCAAAATTGGGAATGAACCTCTTAACACCACTGTAGTCTTAAGAAGCAGGCATTCTTTATTCAGCGCTGGGGACGTGGGGAATCTCTCCACCCAATGTGTCCACCGAATATGAGAATCAGAGACTTGTATCTATACAGAATACACATAGTCATTACATCTCCCAAAACTTATTTCCATATTTGTTACATTTCCCAGAACTCATGATAATATTTAATCACCCTGACACATGCGCATTAAGTCGTTAGGGGCTCCATGGAGCGTCTTGGGGTGATCCCAAAGTGGTGTTCGGTGATTGCACAGGAGTGAACTCTCTGTGAACCGTGGGTCGTTCTCTCTTGCAGTGTCGTGGGGTTTGCCATGCTTTTTGACCACTATGGCTGGTTTGGGCTCATAACAGAGGAGCTCTGTGTGGGTCGGGGAGTTAGAAGTTTTTGCAACTAGCTGACATGGCATGAGGTGGTATTCTTCTCTCTTTGTTCTTGCGCATAATTGCAAAAGGTGCATTTAATCACAAGTTCTAATTACACATTTACATGTTCACCAGGCTCTTAGTTGTAACAATGGGGCATCTTGAGTGGGGCCTGCTTGCAGGGCTGCTGTCTGTGCCGCTGCCGTCACTGTCTCACGTCGGCTTCTGGGGCTACGTCGGCTTTGCGCCGGTGCTCAGCGCAGTACAGCCGATGCTGTACCAAGACGGGCAGCCTGACAACCGGGGTGAGGAACCCCGCGGGGCTCGGATGTCTGACGGCCCTCCTGGGGTGCCCTTCAGCAACTCACTGTCCCTCGGGTGTTTGCTCCCCCTTTGCACAAGGAGAAAACATTTTCCCCGCCTCTGCTCAGCCCCTAAGCCCACGTCCACAGGGAGAGCCGACCCCGGGGCATCCCGTGGGGTACCGGGGGCCGCTCTCAGACACCACCCCCCGTTCTCC